CCAAGAACGCCGATCACTCTCAAAGCCACCGATGGGGGGGAGACCAATAGGCACTCATCAAGACTTCGAAGACTTCGAACGGTGACGCACGAGGAAAGGCCTTCAGCCAGTGCCTCTGCACCACGGCCCGCACTCACACGGGCAAAGGCCTGGGTGGGGTTATTTCAGCCGACCGCAGGAGTGGGAACCCACGCTGGTGGGGATACGCGAAGCATGAAGAATTGAAATGTCCGTCGAACATACGAAAGAAATACGTAGAATGCTCGTAGATCAACGAGCATTCCAAGTATGTTGTGCAGATTACTCGGTAAAGACAAGTTCAAGGTACTTCAATTTTGTTGTCAATCTCCTACTCGAGATCCCAGGGGATGTCAATCGAGGGTGGCCGAACCAGCTCAAGTAGCTTTTTTATCCCAGCGCCTCCCGGAGAGGCACCGGAGTAATTATTGAGAAGGACGCCTGGCGGCGGGACCGAAACCAGCTGCATGAAGCAGACTTTGCACGCCGCCCTTTCCCAATCCCCCCCTTTCGTCCAACCCGACTAAGCTAAGTGGGGTCGAGAAAGAGGCTGGAGGATCCAGGATCGAGGCCGGAGATCCAGGTTTAAAAAAATACCTCGTCCTTTTTCGCACCTCTGGGAGGTTTCTCGTCGCTACGGCTGGATTCCCCTCTGGTCGAAGCGGACCCCTGGACAGGTCTCCTTCGAGGAGTCAGGGGCAAAACCCGGCACAGAAGCCCGAAACACCGACGCTGCATGATAATTAAAACACAAGCTGCCGGCGCGGCACGGCACGGCACGACACGACACGCCTCCGCACCCCAAGACCCGAGCCCGGCCCGGCACCTGCTCCGCAGTCTGCAGCGCAGGTGCTGCACTGCACGGCACGGCACGGCACAGCACGCGGGCCCACGTCCTCCGCAGTCTCGAACACAGACACAGCATAACACCGCCCACGCCTTCCGCGCTCTAGAGCACAAACACGGCACGCCACGGCACAGCCGAACACCGCGTGGGATCGGCACGGCACATGTCTTGCCTCCTACCCCACAAGGACGGCACGGCACGCCAGCGTGGCAGGACACGGCACGCAGGCACGGCACATTGTTTGTCGCAACTACGGCACATGCACGGTACGGCACGGCACGGCACGCAGGCACGGCACATTGTCGCATCCTGGAACACAGGCGCAGCATGGCACTGCGAGGCACGCAGGCAAGCACAGCACGGCGGCGCACGGCACATTTTTCAAGTCAAGACAAGCACACCACGACACTGGCACGGCACGGCAGTCTGGCGGCACATGTTTCGCACTTCACGAACATGCAGAAACAACATTCTGATAACAATCGAAACCCTTACAGCATGTGCTGCTCTGGGGACAATCACGGCGAGAGGTTTGAGCAAAAGTTCTACACTCTAAGCAGCATCACAGGACCTCAAGATCGTCAAAGACTGTTCCGTGATGGGAAGCCGGTCCCAAAGAAGGGTCGAGACCTCCTGGGGTCCACGCTGTGAAACAGTCACGACGTCGAGTCAGGGGGGGGGCGCCTCCTCCTCCTCCTCCTCCTCCTTCTCCTCTTCCTCCTCGTCCTCCTCGTCCTCCTCGTCCTCCTCGTCCTCCTCGTCGTCCTCGTCCTCGTCTTCCTCGTCTTCGTCGTCCTCCTCCTCCGCCGCGTGCACTATGTTACGGACCACTTTCCCTTGGTAACGGGGTGGGAGCGTGGTGCGTGGTCGGTCTAGGGCGGTGGGGGGCGGAACTGGGATCTGTGGCTTCGTATAAAGACTTCCATCGACGCCGGAGCCGCGGGCAAGATCACGCTTGAGTGGGCTCCGTCTCATTTAGATGTGTAAGTGCCGAAAGGCTTTTCGCCCCGCCGGATGACGGGAAGCGCGCTACCCCCCTTACGAAGGGCGGCACCAGGGGGGACCGGCTCAAGGGGGGAGGGGGGACACTGGCCTGGAATCCCCGCCGCACCGCCGATGCCTCGGCGACGGGCCCGCGGGAGCAAGACCGCACCCTGCTGGGCACGGCGGGGTCCGAGACCCGACCGGCAGTAAATGCGCGGTTGTGAAGGGGGCCAAGGACACACAAATAAATACACACAGATCTACCCCCCCTCCCGCCCCAAGGGGCCCCGAAGAGCCCCCCAAGAGGCCCCCGGGGAGCCCAATACGCCGCCAAGGAGCCCCAAGACGCTCCCAAGAGGCCCCCAAGAAGCCCCCAAGACGGCCCGAAGAGGCCCCAAATAGCGCTCCAGGGCCGGCGGAATGAGCGAAGCGATTCAATAATTACTCACTGCGTGGAGCTCCCCATATGTGCATCTATTCGCATGGACCTGTCCGCCGTGAATGTCTAGGCGCAAGAGCTTTCGAATATAAACGGGCTTCAGTTGTGGCGGTCTGGTCATGAATCTAACTGCGAATGAATTGGAGTGTGAATGAGCCTCAGTAGTACGAGCGCGTCTCTGCGCATGAGCCTGGGGCCTCCTGGGGCCTCCTGAAACCTACTGGGGCTGTCTGGGGCCTCCAGGAGCCTCTTGGGGCCTCCTGGGACCTCCAAGGGAGGCTTCGTGCCCCAGGAGAGGCCCAATATATAGCAACCGACGTACATAAAACATTGCGGTTTGGAGCCACAGGAGAAGGGCAATCTATAGGAACACACGTAAAGCACCAAGGACTCGTGCCCCAGGAGAGGCCCAACATTTAGGAACATGAGTAAAACGTTTAGGACTGTGTTCACAGGAGAAGGACAATATATAGAAACATACGTATAACGTCAAGGATTCGTGCTCCAGGTGAGGCCCCATCTATAGGAGCATGCGTAAAACACATGGGATTGGAGCCATTCCTGTTGCCTTCTGAGGCCTCCTGCTCCTGGGGCCTCTCGGAGCCTCCTGTTGCCTTCCGAAGTCTCCTGGCGCTTCCTGTGGCCTCCTGGAGCCTCCTGTGGCTTTCCTGAAGCCTCCTGGAGCTTCCTGGGGCCTCCTGGAGCCTCTTGGGACATCTTGTGGCCTCTTGAGTCTTTCTGTGGCCTCCTGATGCCTCCTGAGACCTCATGTCGTCCCCAGGGGCCTCCTGGAGCCTGTTGGAGCATCCTGTGGCATCCTGAGGAGAACCTGTGCCCACGAGTCTGGCCACCAAAACAAGCATAACCGAACGAGACATCCTCAAAATCTGGCCCACCTGGGGGGTGAAAATGAGCGCCTCGCTCGAGACATCCTCCAAATCTGCTCCGAAAGCGAAGGACGCTGGGACAGAAAACAAGCAAACCGCTCGAGACATCCCCACAAAACGGCAGCGAACGGGACCGTGTCATACCCCTCGGCGGCTCCCCTTAGAGGCGTAAACATGAGCGTCTCGCTCGAGACATACTCCAAATCTGCTCCGAAAGCGAAGGATGCTGGGACAGAAAACAAGCAAACCGCTTGAGACATCCCCACAAAACGGCAGCGAATGGGACCGTGTCATATCCCTCGGCGGCTCCCCTTAGAGGCGTAAAAATAAGCGTCTCGCTCGAGACATCCTCCAAATCTGCTCCGAAAGCGAAGGACGTTGGGACAGAAAACAAGCAAACCGCTCGAGACATCCCCACAAAACGGCAGCGAACGGGACCGTGTCATACCCCTCGGCGGCTCCCCTTAGAGGCGTAAACATGAGCGTCTCGCTCGAGACATACTCCAAATCTGCTCCGAAAGCGAAGGATGCTGGGACAGAAAACAAGCAAACCGCTTGAGACATCCCCACAAAACGGCCGCGAATGGGACCGTGTCATACCCCTCGGCGGCTCCCCTTAGAGGCGTAAAAATAAGCGTCTCGCTCGAGACATCCTCCAAATCTGCTCCGAAAGCGAAGGATGTTGGGACAGAAAACAGGCAAACCGCTCGAGACATCCCCAGAAAACGGCAGCGAACGGGACCGTGTCGTACCCCTCGGCGGCTCCCCTTAGGGGCGTGAAAATGAGCGCCTCGCTCGAGACATCCTCCAAATCTGCTCCGAAAGCGAAGGATGTTGGGACAGAAAACAGGCAAACCGCTCGAGACATCCCCACGAAACGGCCGCGAACGGGACCGTGTCATACCCCTTGGCGGCTCCCCTTAGGGGTGCTGAAACTAGCGCCGAGCCTGGGACATTCTCACAATCTGCTGTGTGTAGAATTAGTCAGACAATGAGAAGGCCTGAGTATGAGTGAGTCTAGGTATGAGTGAGTCTCAGCATGAGTAAGTCTGAGTATGACTAGGTCTGAGTACGAGTAGGTCTGAGCATGAGTATGTCTGAGTATGAGTAGGTCTGAGTATGAGTAGGTCTGAGTATGAGTAAGTCTGTGTATGAGTAAGTCTGTGTATGAGTAAGTCTGGGTATGAGGAGGAGGAGGAGGAGAAGAAGAAGAGGAAGGAGTAGGAGGCGTCCAAGTAATAACATGAACCCCATCTTAGGATATGGGGAAATACACACAAATCCCAGGGCTCCCCATATTGTCTCATATTTCCTTGATTCTCGTCTCCCCACCCACTTCCCATACTTTCCCATGCTTTCCTGGGAATCGACGATTATCTGTGTCTGTGTTTGCGTTCCCCTCCTGAGGTTGGGCGTCGAAATTTCCCTCCTGAGCCTTCCCCGCCCTCTGTCGGGGAGACTTGAGACTCAAGTTCGGGGGACTGTGGTTGCCTCACGGGGCCATGAGGAACACGACGAGACCGAGTCGAAATCTGACGCGAGCTCCCGCTGCAGACATCCCACGGAAACTGCACCGTCAAGAGTCAGGACGGGCCCGTCCAAAAGCGCCGGCGAGCCCGAGCTCCGGCAAACACGTGACTCACACTAGACATGCGATGTCCTGACTTGTTGAATGCGGGGTCCGCGGACATCCCGACCCGTTCCCCCAGGCTGGTGTTTCATCCCGAGTCGCTTTTTGACGGTCCCCGAGCCCTGCAAGGACCCACAGAGGCCGATAATCGAGAAAACCCAGATCTGGGCCTGCCCTTTGGGCGCCCCTGTGAACCGCTCTGGGCCCATCTCCACCCGCTCGGACTGCTGCATCGCCCGCAGCCGGTCCAGCACATCGCCAGACGCTACGGGCTCGCCGACGGACCTGGCGGCGGCGGCGCCGCCGCCTGGAGAGAGGAACCGCTGCCTGGCATCCACGGGCCTGCCCGGGGCTGGATCTCCGTGAATATCGGCTCCCGGCCTGGCCGGGAGCCGATGTGCAGCGGGGCCAGCAATTGACGGGCGCCAAAGAGAGGCAAGGGTTCACGAGCGGCGAACAAATATATATATATATAGAGAGAGATATATATATATATATATATATATATATATATATATCCGTATCCGTATCCGCGCCCTCGCGGTCTGGATTCGGGCACGCTGTCCCGCGGATACGCGGCCGCACGGATACGTTCCGTGATGCAGGCGCTATTGATTGAGAAAGACACGCGAGAGGACGCAAGACCCTTCCCAGGGCCACAGTGCCACAGGAACGTAAAAAGCACGGGTCGCGAAACACAGGACACAAGGGCACCCTTGATTTGGCAGGGTTGACCTGCTAATCAAACTCGATCGTATTCGTTACTGGCCTGGTCGGGAGCCGATGCGCAGCCGGAGACAGCCATTGACGGGCGTCAGAAAGGCAAGGGCATACTTGGCGGCGAGCGAGGGGGAGAAGAGAGAAGGAAAAGGCCTTCTCAGAAAGCTCGGAAGTCCCCTGGCCTTCTGAGAAATGTTCCAAGCATTCCCCGAAGACAAAAAACTTCTCAGAAGGCGCGGGCTTCTGAGAAGTCCTGCCGCCTTCTGAGAAGGCCCTCCCCTTCTCGTTTCCCCCCCTCGCTCGCCGTCGATATACACGAGCGGCCAACATATTCGCATCCGCGCCCTCGCGGTTTGGATTCCGGGGCGCGGTGCCACCGACACGCGATCGCACGGGAAAACTCCGCGCGGGGCAGCCGCGAAGCAAAATGCACCGTATCCGCTGTTGTCGCGGTCCGGGGGCCTCGCCCGCGAGGCCGCGGATTTCGGAGATGTCTCGCCCTCGAACTGACGGGCACCACAGAAAGGCAAGGGTGCAATCCGCATCGTTTAACCGATCCCCATCCCCACCTGCGTGGGCGGGGCCCCACTGGACGATTCACCCCCCTCATGGGGGATACAGGCTGCTCTCTTCGGGTTTCGAAGGGCATATCCTCAAACGGGGTGGTGAGAGGGTGGGGCTCGAGATGTGGATGGGGATGGGGGTAGGGATCGCTTAAACGACACTGATGCAAGGCCCTTGGGCGTCCAAGCTGCGAGGGTTGCGCGACGAAAAGAAACAGGTCTTACGCTGGCTGACGCAGCGACCCTGCGCCGGGGCGTGCGCGGGCCGCTGGCGTGGCACGCCGAGTGGAGAAGCGGGCGCCTGCGCGCGACCTCACGCGGGCAGCCCACGAGCCAGTGCCGGCGCAGCCGAAGCCGTCTTCTTCCGTTGCTCCGCTGGCCAGCGGGCCTGGCCTGCATGCGTCGGGCGGGCGTGCGGGGTCGCTGGGCGCGCGTGGGGAGTGTACGTCGGCGGGTCGGGCGAGCGGACCCTGACCACGAGCGCCGAACGTATCCGTAGCCACGCCCTAGCGCTCTCGACTCCGGGGCGCGGTCCCGTGGGCGCGCGGTCGCAGGGGTGAGTGCCGTGAGGACACCCGGGGACCAAAAAGCTGCCCCGTACACCCCGGGGGCCGCAGCCCAGGAACCCGGCCCGCAGGGCCGTGGATACGGATACTTCCACTGAGACTCAACGTGAGCAATCACAGCCAGAACCCTGGACCCGATCTCTCTGCGCTATTCTTCGGGCCGGATCGATGTGTGAGGGCCTGGTGCCTGAAACAGGGCCACAGCGCCCGCCTGGGAAAAATTGAGACGCCAGGATCCCAGGGAACGGGGGCGTCGTGCGGAACGTCTGGTGGCTGCGCTTATGTTTCCCATTTCCCGGCGAGCACCTTCGGCGCCGAGCGCGTCGGTACGGTTCCTGGTCAGCGCTTCCGACGGCGTGCGCGCGTCCTGCAGGGACGCCCCGCGGTGCGACGTGCGTGGCAGAAACGGGCCTGCGCCTCTCGGCCCCTTGGAGCTGCACGCACGACTGGCCCTGCCGCCGTCGTGCTGCCATAACGAGCACCGAGTAGGGAACGGAGGGGCACTTCTTGCCACGGCGAACAACGGTCACGCTAATTAGGGTTCCCCTCCTAAGCCAAAAGCGGCCCCTGTGCCAGCGCTTTCACCCTGTGCGGGAGGTGGCCCCTTTGTGCGCGCCAAACCCTGGGCGCGCAAGCGAATCTGCTCATGCTGTGGGGACCCCTGCGGGGCCGCACTGCACCAAACCTCACTTTGGCGAAGGGTCGCTCTTGCGCGCAGCCGACCCAAGAGTCGACTCATCATCCCGAACCATTTCTCTCGCCAAGGGTCACTCTTGCGCTCAACCGAGCCTAGGGAAGACTCATCATCCCAGACCGTTTCTCTGGGAGGGTCCCGGGGCCCGAATCTGGCCTGCAGCGGGTCCACGATGGCGAGACGCTGGCGGTCTCGACGCGTTGTTTGGGCCGCCCGGAGTTTGGGAAATCACCTCGCTCAAGAGTGGAGACATGGGGTGGCGGCCCAGAGAGTTACACCAGCCGAAGCTTTACATATTCGAAGGGCTGCCCCCAGGGCGTCGAGTACAAATCAGAAGGGATGTTAATCAGACCTCATGCCAGCCATCGCGGACCACTAATGGGACCTTGTCTACTCGGCTGCTGGACCGCTCAAGCGATATGCATTGGAATGGCGGGAATTCAGTGAGCAATCTTGTCAAGGTCGACAGCGCAAATGCCCTGAGCCCAGGCCAGCTCAACAAAAAATTGAGATGTAACCCCTCGCCCCCACATAGCGGAAGCCGTGATTGTACGGAAATGTTGTCGCAGGCGGATCAGGTCCCCGAAAGACCCTGACAGAGCGGCCGCCAAATCGAGCGGTGGATTCTGTCATGCCAGACGAAGAGATAAGCGTAGATGTGCACGTACCTTCACAAGCACATGTCGATGTTCCCTGGGGACCGTGAGGTCGCTACGCGAGAATACCGCGGGCCCCTGATGTTGCCCAATATCGCGTCGTTTGCCCATCGTCTTCAGGTTTGGTTCCGACTGGAGCCGCCCTTAAACGGCGGGGCTCTGAAATCGACGATCGATGCCCTCTCATGTGGTGAACGCGACACACTGTGGAACCACTTTCGGCCCTGCAACCAACCTTTGGTGGGGCCTACGTCACCGAGCAGGCCATCCAGCAAGCATCAAGGGCAAGGCCCACCTGTGTTTTTGTTGTGGTTTGTGGGCCCCGTGCCACGATGTGCACAATCCCACTTAACTTTTCGGGCGCGAGTGGTTTAGGACGTTTCCTCTTCCAACACCCCGTGTTCCCCTTCGTGGGGGGTATCAAGCTTCTCCCATTAGCCCCCAGGCGGTTGGCACAAAACCCGGGGGAAAACAACAAAAAAAACGCCCAAAAAAATGTGTGAAACAAAACGTTGCGTCATGTCCGTGGGCACCGCGAACACGTTGTCCTGGATTCTGACAGGGGCTGCGGGGGGCGATTCATAATGCTTGCGCGAGGCCGCCACCTCTATCCAAACCATATAGAATGCATCTCGCTGCTAAATATTGATCGTGCCCAGCAACCCCGCGACGGGGCGGCGCTAGCATGTCGCCTGATGTGCGCAAGCCCGCCAATCACCATGATGGCCTCCACGCCGCGATTGTGCAATGGTTTCAAAAAAGGATGGCGGGCGCCGACATGTTGACCGATGTGCGCTGTCACGCGCGCGGGCGCACCTGGCATTCTCTGCGTGCGCCCCGAACGCGGCGCACTTGGCGCGCCAGGAACATGCGAGACACACCTGGCGCACGCAGAACACATGGCGCATCTGGCGCACTAGGCGTGCCTGGCGCGCTTGGGCCCCAGGTGTGCCCAGCGCTCGTGCCGTCCATTACGCGCCTGGCACACGTGGCGCACCTCGCCCCAACGTCGCGCACACGGGGTCTGTTGTGGCCCAAAGACTGTCTATCCATAGACGACCGCTGGACACGCTGCTCGGGCGCTAATTAGTGGGAGGGCGGGTGGGAATGAACGAGACACAGCATGCGGGCTGGGAGGGCGCTTCGGCCCCTCCCCCCACCCCTTGCATTGGACCCGGACAAATGGGGTCACGCCCCATTGGAGCGTCCAAGAAGGCATCGGCTGGAAAACAAAAAATGATCTACTGAGGCGCTGGGCCCACATTGGCCTCCTGAGGAGGGGGCAAGCCTACTTAAGAACGTCAGATGGCGATTACAAAAATGGGTTCGTGCGATAAAGAAACAAGTTTCCCTGACCTGGCGAATCGTGGGGTGGCTCCCGCAAAATTGAAACACAACGCGGCGGCGCCGGCGAATGGCGCCGAGGCCCGGCCGCCAACGAAAAGGCTATAGGAGCAGCACGGACTGAGGGAGTTGGGGGGGCCTGGAGACAAGGGCGGCAGAGGCAGGGGCCGTCGGCGCCGCCACCGCCGCGTTGTTTCCTTGTTTCGTAATCGAACGGACCTCTGGTCGCCGCGATGCGAACGGGCCCTGAAAGAAGCGGGCCCGGAACCCTGGAGTTCCCGCCAGGACCAGCTCGGTGGTTTTTCGGCTGCCTCGGGGCCCGCCGAAAGCCTGGGGACCCGAGAGCGGGAAAAACATGCCAGGGCTCACTTCCCGCAAGACACGCCTCCACCGCGGCGCCCCGCAGCGAATCCAAAAAGGCGAGCCAGCCAGCGCAGAGCGAAGCTCGGCGCGCCCGAAATGGGCGTGGGAAAATGGGCATGACGTCCACAAGCAAATGTTGTCCGACACTGGCTAGCGGCCGCTGCTGGGCAGGGGACTCGTTGCATCGAGCTGTTAACGTCCGCGGCGACACCCAGGATGCAAAACGGCTGTCGGTGTCCTTCCCTGCACATTTCGTGCCCGTTTCGAACGCACCAGAAAGCTCCGAGCCCTGGCGCGCGTGATACAAAAAATGGTTGGCGCCCCGCGGGGTCTATTCATCAGCACCGAGGGGGGGGTCCATCATCTGTTAATCACAAGCTGACATTGCCCCCCTTTTGTGATCGAACTCCTCCTAGATGTCCCAAAGATGGCCCCCAATGCTTAAAGAGTGCCCCAAGAGGTCGCGCCGCCGCATGAGGCGGGGCGTCAGGTCTTGAGCAGGGCCCGCCGCGCTGTGGCCGCGCGTCAGGTCTTGAGCAGGGCCCGACCGTCCTGGCATTCCCATAGGCCTACCACGAGATGCTCTGAGAACCAAAGAATGCTCGAACCATGAAGGCCATGCTCTCAGAACCAAGGACCCATGGGCTACAACAGGACGGCCTCAGCCAGGCATGCTCGAAGGACACGCCATACAAACTACACAAGGGTCTTAGAGCATGCTTGACAACCAGCCTTGACCTGAGCCCCACCCCTGGGATTGACAAGCCAGAGGGCGACGACAATCTCGGGGATGCGCCCTCGACAACTGCAGGAACCCCATGTTAGATCGGCATCGAGGGGAGGCGACGCTAATCTTCGGGACAGGGATGTGCTGCAGGCTGGCACACTTCCCTGGGCGCACGGGCGACCAAGGACTCTTCACAACTGACTACCTACCAGACCACCCCAACCCAACCCGAAGACCCGAATCTGACCCGAATTTCGGGTTGGGGGGGGTTACGGGTTCCATGTGTTTTTGTCCACGTTCCCCGACCCCCCCCCACTGGAAATGGAGGGCAAATCGAGGCCCCCGGGTTGGGTTGGAGTGGTTTGGTAGGTGGTGCACAACCGCCCGAAGCTCCTGGCAGGGACGCAGCGGCGGCAGCTCGGCGCCCGCCTCGCGCAGGGCGCGGTGGGGCTCCGGCAGCGGCTCGCGGCCGGCGGCTGGCGCTCGCGGCTGCCGCCTGGCGCTCGCCGCTGGCACCGGCGCCGGGGCGCCCGGCAGCGGGCCGGCCGGGGGCGGCTCTCCGCGGCCGCGCGCCCCTGCCATCGGGGCGGTCGCACTGGGTACGGGAACAGTGGGTCCTCCTCCCCCCCCCCCTCCTCCTCCTCCTCCTCCTCCCTCCTCCTCCCTCCTCCTCCTCCTCCTCCCCCCTCCTCCTCCTCCTCCCCTCCTCCTCCTCCTCCTCCCCTCTCCTCCTCCTCCTCCTCCTCCTCCTCCTCCTCCTCCTCCTCCTCCTCCTCCTCCTCCTCCTCCTCCCCTCCTCCTCCTCCTCCTCCTCCCCTCCTCCTCCTCCCTCCTCCTCCTCCTCCTCCTCCTCCTCCTCCTCCTCCTCCTCCTCCTCCTCCTCCCCCCTCCTCCTCCTCCTCCTCCTCCTCCTCCTCCTCCTCCTCCTCCTCCTCCTCCTCCTCCTCCTCCTCCTCCTCCTCCTCCCCCTCCAGCTCTTCCTCCTCCTCCTCCTCCACAGCAGCTCCCGCCTCCCTCTGCTCCGAGCTCGCTGTCGGCGCGGTCGCGGCCGCGGCCCGTTCTGGAGGCGGGAGGCCGCCCTGCCCCCGCAGCGGCCGCGGCCGGTTTTTTTTTTGGGGGGGGCGGCATGCCCGTGGTTGGGCCGTCGTGCCCAGGCTTGTCCGTGCCCCCCCCCCCCCAGAGATCCGACGTCGTGATTTTTTCAATACGGGGTCCCCAGAAGTCTGGACCCATTCCCCAGGACCGGCTTGTCGTCCTGAGTCGTTTTTCGACGGTCCCGAGGCCCGGCGAGGGCCTCCAGAGGCCGAAACCGGCGAAAAACCTCCGTCTTGGTTTTTTCACTGCGCTGGATCTCTGGGCCCGCGGCCGTCCAGGCCCCAAGTCTCCGGCCAGGCGTGCCCCGTGTCCATCCCGGCATGGTTGCTCCCCCCGACTTCGGCCCTCGGGTGGGCCGCTGCTGGGCCCCAAGGGCCCCGGGGCCGACAAGCATGGCGCGTCGTCGGATGTGCTCGGGGGCTCGCGTGGGAGCCTCCGGGGCCGCAGGCCGAGGCTCGCGGGCGGGAAGCACCCCCACATGGAGGAAAAAGGACCATGCATGCACACACATACACACACACACACACACACCGAATTCTGGCCAGGCCCATCCTGAGCCCAGGATCGGTGCGTACGCCCTCCTGCCTTGGCCAGGAAGGCATATGCACCGATCCTGGGTCAAGGATGGGCCTTGCCAGGATCGGTGCATGTGAATAGTTCTCTTCGCCCGACCACATCCTCTCTCGTCGTGGGAAACAATCGCAGCGGACGGGTTTTGACAGCTTCGACCTCAGGGGGCCCTCACGGGGCCAGTCGATGATCCTCTGAACGTGTGCTGGCGCTACCGTGTGCTTGCCCACTGAAGGGGCCCTCCGCACGACGCAAGCGCTGAAACGATGGCTGACGCAGGCTGCGTGCTATCTGTGGAGCCCGAAGGGTAAACACACATCGGGCTAACACACGCTCTGAGGATCATCAGCCCAGGACCGTCAACCAAAACAGCTCTGGACAAAAAACCGGTCCTTGGGGCGGGGTAGTCGAGTGCACCCCCCTCGGAGGCCACGATCCTCGTGAAGGGTGTCGAAAAAAGACCCTCAAACCATCTCTGGGTAGACTTGGTCCGGGATACTTTTCGCCGGGGGACCCCCAGGGGCCGCCCCGCGCGCGCGAACTAGAAATGTTGTTCACCAGTTACCGGAGAACTTAGCACGCCTCTGGCCCGTTGGGCCGGCGAATTTTTCGTCGAAAATCCCCCTGTAGCGGGACAGGCCCGACGTAAGGCCGGTCTGGGGCCCGCCGAGGGCAGCCAAAAGATGGCCCAGGGCCAAGAGCTGGCCCCAGGCATAGAGACCTCCTAGGTGCGGTCCGAGTAGATTAGGGGGCAACACGCGAACCCTACCCCTCCCCCTCAGAAATCGTGGGGGGTAGGGGTAGGGTTCGCGTGTGGCCCTCTATAGATGGGGTCGGCGATGCATCTGCGATGCATCGGCAGCGCCGGTGACGCATCGGCGCCATCGGCGTGGAGAAACTCGGGCTCCACGGCGAGCCGCAGCGGCGATGCATCGGCGGTGCGGCGCGATGCTCCGACCCCGTCGGCTCAGACTTCATCCGGGAGGCCTAGAGAGAGAAGGGGCCGAGAGGTCCAGTGGCCAAAGTCTCGAATAATCGAGCCGATCTTTGGGGTCCCAGATCTCCAACGATCTGGGTTGTTCAATCTGGACGTGTTCATCGATTTCAGCGTCTGGGGGCCCCCTCATAGGGCCCTGGGACCATCAAAGATTAATCTTGGACGGAAAACTACGCCTGGGGAAGCCATCGGGACCCCTGGGGCCGCGGATTGAAATATCATATGTATATATATATATACACACATATATATATATACACACATATATATATATATACATATACATACATACGGGGGGAGAACCCCTCCCCCCCGCCCCCACAACCAGACTCCCGGGATCTGGGGCTTTGGGACCCTCCAGACGGGCCTCGAAGAGGCTCCCCGGGCCTCGCAGGGCGTTTTGCCAAGCCTTCCCAGCACACCTAGGGCGATCAGGGGGGTCATCGGAGACGTCCCCGAGACCCCCAAGACAGCACAAGAGCGCTCCAAGAGTCAACAACGTGACCTTAAGATGGCCCAAGAGGCCTCCCGGACGGCCCCAAAGAGGCCTCCAAGAGCACTTCCAAGAAGGCCCGAAGCGGCAAAAATCATTGACTTTCTGTTGGTTTTTGGTGAATTGGGGGTTCTCCTCTTTTCGGCTTCCCGGCGCTCCAAGACGGCGGTCTTCTGGGCGTCCGAAGCCGTCTGGAAGGCTCCAAAATCGCCCCACAACCATCCGAAAGGGCTTCCGGGCAGTCCAAGAGAGCCCCAAAACGGCACAACACGGGTCCAAGATGGCCCTCAGAGAGCCCCATGGCGGCCCAAGATGACCCCAAGACACCCTCCGAAGCATTCCAAATCGTGACTCGGTCGTTCAGGTAGACCGCGGTTGGAGGCAGGGTGGCCCGAGGAAACCCCCAGAGGCCCCCAGAATACGCCCAGGGGGCCTCCAGAAGGCCTTAAGAAAGCCTGACACAACTTTTGTCAGGCCTCCAGAGGCTCTCCAAGGAGGAGCCTCCGCAAAAAAGACCTGAAGCGCATGGGGAGCATGCGCAGAGTATGGCGAAAATGAAAAAATAAGCATGGAGGAAGGATAACAAATAACATCATTATAGCGGCGATGCCGGAAAAGGCAACAAGGACTTATCGCCAAATTGTCGGCTTGACCTTCCTGCTACTCCGCCTGCATACCAAACTTCAAGGACCAAGGTGCATGGCGCGAAGCGCCACTGCAGTCTTGTATATATATATATATATATATACAGATATATCGGTGGATGCGAGGGGTCGAGGTTCGAGGCGTTTAGACGTTTGGGGGCCTTTAGGGTGGTCGACCTACGACCCTAAGACCCGGCGGGCACAAACAAACCCTGAAATCCCGAGGGACGACCCCAGACAGCGTAGGCACGACCCACAGAAGCGAGACAGGACGATCCAAGGAAACGAGGGAGTGCCTCCGCCGGAAGGGAAACCCAGGAGAGCGCCCCCAGGAGGCGGCCGACGTCGTGGGTCGTCGTCGTCGGTTGTCATCGTCCTCGTCATCATCGTCGTCGTCGACGTCGTCGTGGCTGTATTCGACGGTCGATATGTCACAACGCCTGGGGGCAAAACAAGGCAATTCTACTCTACCAGTCACGTTACAGCGCGTAAACGGGCGGAAACAACTCGTATTCTGCACGACCGTCATGTGGCAGCGCTGGCACTCGCCGCGTCGACAGCGACGACGACGGCAGAGACGAGGGCGACGACGGTGATGAGGGCGGCGACGGTGACGTACGACGACGACGACGACGACTACCAGGACTAAGGACCCCTACTAACCTCCCTCATCACTTCTCCCTCAACGTCCCCCTCCCTACCTCGAACTTCTTCCCAACAATTTCTAGAAAATCTCTCTGCCCATACACTCCCTGAACACGGC